ATAAGTGTGCTGCTGGATACTACTGCCCAAGTGCAGCACCTGCACTTGTCAGTATTTAAACACATCCTGTTTTTGTTAGCCCACCCGTGCAACCTATCCAGATCTTGCTGCCATCTTTCCCTCCCTACTAGTGTGCTCACCTCACCCCAAATTTTGGTATCATCAGCAAATTTAAACAGGTTGCTTTTCACCCTGTCGTCCAAATCATTGATAAAGAAATTGAGCAGCGTGGGCCCAAGGACCGAGCCCTGGGGTACTCCGCTGCCCACTTTCCCCCAGTCGAATATGACCCATCCACCACCACCTCTGAGTACGACCCTTCAGCCAGTCTGCAATCCATCTGACTGTGTAGGCATCAGTGCCACAGTCGCCTAGTTTTTTAATGAGGATGGGGTGGGAGACGGTGTCAAAGGCCTTGCTGAAGTCCAGAAAGACTACGTCCACGGTGACTCCTGCATCCAATGCTTTTGTGACCTGATCATAAAAGGCAAGCAGGTTGGTCTGACATGACTTGCCCCTAATAAAACCGTGCTGGTTGCCCTTGAGCATCATCCCTGAAGCCGTCCCACCACAGTTGTGCTCCTTGATGATCTTCTCAAAGAGTTTCCCTAGGATTGAGGTAGTTGCCTGGGTCCTCCCTCCTCCCTTTTTCAAAGATGGGGACCACATTGGCTATCTTTCAATCATCTGGCACCTGGCCCAACCACCACGGGCACTCGTAAAGCCGTGCCAAGGGCCGTGCAATAACCCCTGCTAGCTCCCTCAACATGCTGGGGTGGAGAGCATCTGGACACGCTGATTTGAACACGTCCAGCCCCTCCAGAAGCTCTCTAACCCAGTCCTCCCCAACCTGAGATCTGGAGGTGTTCCCCCCCCCAGTCCGTCTCGCATCACGGTGGGGAAGTCCTGGAACACTTAGTCTGTGTTCTTCCAGTTTCTAAGCTGAAAGCTCACATAATTATATTTTTATGATGAATATCTACATGTGCATTTTGAGTTTGGTAAACTAGAGCCAAACTGTATGAAATTAAGATAAATCTTTATGGAAACTTGACAGTGCACAGCCAATAGTCCACTTGATGGAAGAAGTCAAAGCTTTATGAAAGGTCCAGGAAAAAAATCCATAGCTCTCCCTTCTAAAATCTCTTATGAACATTTCTAATCATTTATAGACCCAACTTGCAACAGAAGTGGTGCTGGCTCCTACCCTGGGAGTCTTTAAGAGGAGGCTAGATGTACACCTTGCTGGGGTTGTTTGACCCCAGTACTCTTTCCTGCCATGGCAGGGGGTCGGACTCGATGATCTACTCAGGTCCCTTCCAACCCTAGAAACTATGAAACTATAATCTATTAATGCTTATTTCAAAGTGCATTCTTTACCATTTTGTTTCATCCAGTAAAATCATTTCAATATTAAATTTGTACAGATTGTAAATAAGCTGGTGCTTTCAGTCATCCCAGGAGGTGCAGAAGTGCAGTGTAGTGTGGCTGGGAAGCTGATGGTTGAGCTTGGGGAAACACAGTGCAGCATGAGGGTGCCAAGGACACACAAAAGCGTGCAGTTTAGCCATGGGGAAAAGGCAGGGGGCATCCACGTGGTCTGTGACCTGGAGGTAGGGCATGGGCATGCAGCCCCTGCTGATTTGGCTCACAGGACATTCTTCCCCTGACCACTGGGAAGTTGGATAGCCCCAAAGTATACTGTTTATCATCACCATCCTGACTTAATTAACACAGGAAATGCTTAAATACTAGGCTATTTAAGTAACTTTTAGATAGGTACAGGGTACCAACTGTGTTATTTATTTTGATATGGAATACAACTTTTATACACTTTTCCACTGTTCTAAGACTTTATATTTTCAGTTTACTACAGTATTCATCACTGTGTTGCCACAAATTTCAAGGAGCTTTACCACACTGTTTAGGAATGATATATGTATGTCTTCTGGTTGCTGGAAACTATTTCCAACTTTAGGGCACTACTACATTCAGAACCAGTTCCTTCAACATGGTAGATGTTGTAGGATAAATAAGTCCTTGGCTTCTCACTGATGCAGATCTGTTATGGAAGTCTCTTTTGTACTGTGGATGTATTTAGTCACTTGTCTCTCTATTCTCCCCTACACCTGTTAAGATACCAAAATTGGTGGTATAGAGGAACCTTTTAGATGTCTGACTCATGCATCTTACTCACATGACCTGTGTGAAATCTGATCATCAGATTTGGGACCAGATACGAATTTTC